GAGTAATGATGCTGAAAATTCAGCTTTGAACACAGCAATAAATTACATTTTAAAATACATTCAAACTAAAAGTTTTTAAAATTGTATTGATATTTCACAATATTACTGTTTTACATTATTCTTGATCAAATAAATGCTACCTTGCATAAGAGACTTCTTTCAAAAATATCTTTGATAAACAAACTTTTAAATGGCATGATCGGCAATTTTCAGAACTCAAAATTCTTCTCTAATCTGAAAAGACCAGGTACTGAAATAGTTTCCATAATTTAAATACCATAAATGGAAACAAGTTTATTCAGGATTTTTTTTAAAGGTACAACAGCAAAAAAAACATAAAATTAAATTAAAAATGTACATATTATAGTATCATAGATATAATAGAGTGTTTAATTTCAAACTATTAAAAGATCAAAATTAACCAAAAATTATTCACAATTCAAGAATGATTTCAGATCTTTCAAAACTTCCACTGCAGCACAGTTTGTATGCAGCATTATGCACATTGAGCAGGACTGGACACACAAACAAAAACTATTGTGTTGCTGGCGGCCAGCACAACAATACGGCCCCATTGTAAACCCGGGACTGCACTCTGTAATGTGCATTCAGGGAGGCACACCTGCCATTTCATTGGCTAAAGATCCAACACATCTATAACAGAGAGACCGCCCTGAACCTCTCACCTTACTGATCTGATCCTCATACTCTTTCCTCAGCTCTCCCGGCTGACACACGCGAGGTCTTGGAATCGTTACTGGGAAAAAAAAAAAAAAGACTGCATAAGCAATTATAATGAACGCAATATGCATTAACATGAAACAATTATGTAGCACATATTGCTTCAATCAAGCTACGCTCTCTGTACCAGCATCATCGTCGTCATCGATTCCCTGCACTCTCCGCTCACACTGAGTGGGAAAAGCATCCTGTATGCGTCTCCACAGCTCCACATTCACCAAGGTCTTGTTGCGGTTGTTGAGTCGCGCCCAAGTGGACACGCGTTTTCGGCAAAGCGGACAGCAAATGTTGGACTTGTCCACAGTTTCCATAAAGCAGGGTTTGCAGAAGGTGTGCATGCAGGGCAAAGTGACCGGCTCCAGGAATATGTCCAGACAGACCGGACAAAGGCAGTCTGAATGTTTAAGACCCCCGGAGCTTTCTTCAACCGGACCCGTGTCCACTCCAGACACAGGCGGCATTCTGCGGCCCGTCTCTATACGTCAGTGTGTGAGGTTTCTCTCTCTCTCAGGTTCAAGAGCAGCATATGACAGTCAGCTGAAAGACAAAACAACA